TGCCTCTGCCTCTGCCTCTGCCTCTGCCTCTGCCTCTGCCTCTGCCTTTGCCTCCTCTGCCTCTGCCTCCTCTGCCTCTGCCTCTGCCTCTGCCTCCCGAGTGTTGGAAATAAAGGCATGCATCACCTTGCCTGGATAAAAACATTCTTAATAAATGATTGCTAAATGAACACTTCTCTATACTCCCTTTCTTCTCTTTAATAATACCCATTTAAAGAGTGTAAGTTATTTATTTATTTATATGATCAATTCATCTTCAAAACATTCTTTAAGAAGCCTCCATCAGTACAGTATGGGTACAGTCCCAGACAGGCTCTCCCATGGTAGCTCCTTCTTATTTCAGGTTTGTTTTTTTCAGTTTCCATAACCTTGCTCAACCACAGTTTGAATATATTACATGGAAACTTCCAGACGTAAGAATTCTTGAGTTTCAAATTATATGCTATTTCTGGTTGGCACCGTGAATTCTTACACCTATAATTCCAACCCAATGAGTCATTTCTTTGTCAGTGTATCTGTAACACATGCCTCCCACCCATCAATTATTGGGTGACCCTCTCAAAGTCAACTGTGTGGTGCCACTAAGCTAATGCTCAAAGAACTCTTATTTTACTCAATATTGTCCTCAAAGTGCAAGGTCAATGATGTTCTCAAATTTTATATGCCAAAGAGAAGACAAGGTATTTCCTTTACTAAAGGGGAAAAATCATATGTTAAAATTGCTAATATTCATAATACAATAAGATATTTGAGCAAAGAGAGGTCACATTAATATAACTTTGCCACAATCTATTGTATAATTGTTTTAGCTTATTATTAGTCACTGTTGTTTGTCCACTTGCTTAATTTATAAGTTATATTTTATCATAAGCATGTAGATATGCATAGTAAAATATATTCGACATATATGTTTTAATAGTCACTAAGCCTTCAGCATTAACAGGGGTCTTGAAATGCATCTGCTCTGGATAAAAAAATGAAGGCTCCTGTAAATACCCAACCATTTTTATCTTTAATTGAAAATATAGAAAATTAGCACCAAGTCTAACCCCACGACATAATAAATCTCTGAAACAGTTAGATCATGGTGAGTGGCTTCCAGATCCCCCTGGACATTTTATTACACCAGTGTTTGACCATTTGGCAGACTGCTATACATATCAACCTTCCCTACTTTACACCCAGAAGCTTTCTATGCATGTGGTTCCAAATCAAAATGGCACTGACCCACACTTTTAACTCTTTTATTTACTTCCCTTTCTTAGAAATTTCATACGCTCTCAGAGAGAAAATGGGTGTCTTGGTGGGACCTCTGTCTAGGCTTTTAGACCATGCACTGACATAAGGTCTAATGGATGGTCACATAAAAGATACCTGTAGGATTCAACCAGAACCTTAAGCTTTTGAGCTGAAAGATAAGAACTAGTTCCTGCCATTACCAACCAGCATACATTCGTGACAAGATTTTATTATTCAAAGAGAAAAATGCTCTAACGACAGGAATAGATCCTTTAATCAACACTGTACATGAATATGAAATGACAGAAGAACACAACAGTCATTAACCAAGCAGAAACTTGGGCATTAATTTAGCAGCCACAGAACAAGGTTAGTGAAACAAATGAAGCTAAGGTGCCTGTTTTGGTTAAGTGGTCTCTCTCTGTTCAGTGAGCACATCTAAGCAGCCTCTCAAAAACTCTAATGTGAAATATGACATTGTTTAGAATTCATACACCTCCTAGAAACAGTGGTGAATGATAGGACAGATGATATCTGGGCTTTACTGGACTCGTGGATGACTGAGCCTGCTGAATGTCAGAGCTGACGACATAGGGACATGAGAAACTTGGACTTGCACAGTGATGAGGAAGGGAGTGCAGAAATCAGATCCCTGAACTTTTACTGGGGGTTGTTCCTGAGGAGAGCTTATGGAAAGATGTTCTAGTGGGCTAGAGGGATGGCTCGGTGCTTAAGAGCACTTGCTTCCTTCTCCTGCAGAAGATCTGGGTTCAGTTCCCAGCACTCACATCAGGTGTCCTAGTCCATAGGATTCCAAATCTGCTTCTGTCCTCTTTGGGCATCTTCATGCATGTGGTATACGTCCATACATTGTGCTGGTTATTTTTTGCCAACTTGACATATCTGGGAAGAGGAAACTTGAACTGAGGCCAATGCTTCCAACAGATTGGCCTGTGGACAAGTCTATGAATCATTTTTGTGATTAATGATTGATATGAAGGGGCCCAGGCCACTGTGGACAACCAGTGCCACACCTAGATATATGGTCGTGATTCTATAATAAAGCAAACTGAGTGAGTTGTGGAAAGCAAGCTAGGAAGCAACAATCATTCATGGCCTCTGCATCAGTTTCTGCCTCCTCGTTCCTGCCTGGAATCCCTGCCCTTGCACCCCTTTGTGATGGTCTCTAGGTTATAAAAGGAAATACACCTCCAAGCTGTTTTTAGTCATTGTGTTTATCGTAGCAAGAGAAATCAAAGGGGGCATGTGTGGAGGTGCACACACACACACACACACACACACACACACACACACAAATAAATAAATAGATAGATAGAAAAATAAATAAATAAATAAATGTTTAGATCTTTTTAAAGAAAATATTCTGGTATGCTGCAAGCCGTGCCATTATCTCTTCCTTATTTCCATAATTTTTACAAATTGCTTATGAGCAAGGTTTTTAGAAAGAAAGCCTATTATTGAGGTTTGATAAATAATGTGAAACTCCCCTGAGAGAACATGTAAGGAACAGGAGTGAGGGAAGGACATTGCATAAAGATAAGTGAATAAAATTTACCAAAACATACTAAATATGTTAGTCATGGTAGACAATTTCAAAGCACCCTTCTTACCAAGAGATACGGAGCTTGCACTAATTAATCTTCCTCTAGCAACTTTTCCCATTTCGGCTAATTCCTGAAAGTGAGGGTAAATAATGTTAATAGTAAAGTCTGGAGTGTAAGTATGATTGATTTTAATGCAAATTGTCAAAATTATGTAGAGAACCCAGAGTACTTTGAAAATTGCTACAATTTATAGAAAACTCAATGAGTATAAAAAGGTTTGGTTAAATTATTAAATTTTATTTCAGAGGACAAAGAAAGCATACAGTTTCTGTTATTTGAGTGCATAATAAACTCTAAATGGCTGTATACTTCCTACTTTTGTACTGTGTGCCTTAGAATTTAACACGGCATGAGTATTAAACAGAAATTCACTAACTTGATTAATAAGTTCATCAAATGATTACAGAATGAGAGTAATTAATCAATTAATTGCACAATGTTTTTATATCTCCCAGACTTGTAAGGCCTTCCTTCCTGCCATGATTAAAGCTAACCATGGTCACCTGGTCTGTATTTCAAGCATGGCAGGAGTAGTCGGTATTAATGGACTATCAGGTGAGTATTTCCATTCACCATACATCCTTCTATCCCCGAGAAATAGGGCCCTTCCAGAATGCAGAATGCCAAAGGGAAATCTCAAAACACCCAGCCTCACTCATAATGCCAGCAACATCAGCTCCCGTATCACTCCTCACAATGGCAGACTAAGAAATGTATTCTCTCTTTAAAAGACACATAAAATGGTGTGTGTGTGTGTGTGTGTGTGTGTGTGTGTGTGTGTGCGCGTGCGTGCGCGCGCGCGCCTGTTGGTTCATTGGAATTCTTGCCGTAAGAGATCTCTGTGATTTTATTAAGCACACTTGGTAGAGATACTCTGTTCTCAAGGGCAATCCAGAAAAAAAAAAAAAAAAAAAAGATTTATTTTTAACTAATTATGAGAATTTTCCAAGCTATATCACTCATGTTCCTCACTTTATTTCAGATTATTCTTCAAGCAAATTTGCAGCCTTTGGCTTTGCCGAATCTCTCTTCCTTGAATTAACTATGATAAAGAAAACTAAAGTTAAAAGCACCATTGTTTGCCCCTATTTCATCAAAACTGGAATGTTTGAAGGCTGTACAACCAAGTAAGTGACTCTTTCAGCAATCTTTATTCTTATATTAACCACAATAGTAAGATATAACAGAAGTCAGCAATTAAAATAGCATGTTCAGTTGAGAAAATAATTTGTTTTCTATATACAGTGTTAAAACATAGATATCCCCAAATATAAAATATCTTGTACAGTTTGTTAATATATACAGGAAATGTTGCAAAGTGATTTTTATCTGAAGATAACATTTACCTTGAATAATTGAACTAGAAAGCTAATTAAGCACAAGGACTTTTGCACAGGATGCAATGGACTACAATGAGCTTAATATAAAGACTATGCAGCTATTATCTTTGTTAGGAAATGCACTGAAGTGTTTCCGACTACACGAGGCAGCGCATTTGGAGAAAGGGAGCCGCCAAAAAGACCCTGAGACTATGTTGAGCCCACTGAACCTATAAAATTAAAAAAGAAAGGAAAAAAAACTCCAAATCAGATGAAAAAGTATTTCAATGTACAGGAGAGGAGTATTGACCTAAACGTTTGTCTATTAAGTGGCTGAAAATTAAAAATTTCTAGAGACTGATCAAAGAACACGTGCAATTGAGGAGACTGTTCCAAACTTTTTAGAAAATCGTCATCCTGAAAGGCTGTGACATGAGAGACCCCATACTACACTCGTTCCTGTGTGGTAGCCACTTCACTGAGCGTGCCAAACAAGTGGCTTTTCCCACCTTTCCTCAGCCCCCAGGACAGGAGAGCTGTTCTCCACATGCTGGCAGCGGGGAGTCCTTGTTAAAACATGCTTTCAGCAGCTCTGAATGGTGACAGAAATACACTGAATGACAAGCCTCTTCCACACAGGGCTTGCTCCTCTGACCCCAACTCTCCAGAGTGAGGAAGCTCTGGAAAGGCCTTTGGAGGAAGGTAGCTCCTTTGTCTAGTGGTGGCTTGCTAGAGAGCACAGCCCAACATTAGGTCCCACGTCAAGTCTCCTAGAGAGCTGACATCAGTAGATCTTGTCTTCCCAGACTCTGGGTTGTGGTAAATCCATTCAGGATGGTGGCAGCAGCTGCCACCTCTAATTCCTTCCTCCCTCCTCCAACTTTCATATTCTCAATGATTAGATGAATTTAATGAAAGTAGTCCTAATCCATGAAAAACAATGAATGCGTAGCAAAATTCGGTTCCAGAATTATTTCATCAGGAGCTTCAGTTTGCAGTCACTAAGATCAGCCACTGACTTTGTTAAAAAAAAATATCAGAAGTGTGTTGGAAGGAAGGTCATCCTTACCCAGTCCTACCCTTTATCATTGTTTGGACCATGTAGTGGCACATTGGGAGAAAACATCGGAAATTTTTAGGATCAGGACAGAATTGGGAATAGCAAGTAAATCACCCTCCTGAAGTGAAGAAGAGGAGGAGGAGGCTGGTTTGTTATAGAGCTTTCCATAGACTGCCACATGGGCACGAAAGGTGGCAAGCGCAGTGACTATGATGTAAGGGAGCATACTGGCTCTTTTCTCAAGGCAGCTTAAACACATAGGAGACTTTACCCTCCAGAAGAGGAGCTGAATTTGCTTATGTGACAAGCAAATTTCTAGGGACTGCTGTTCCAACTATCAGAAGAAAAGCTGAAAGACTAAAATACTATAGTATTTTAATCCTTATGTTCAGTACTTTAATAATAATACTTGCAGTATATAAAACGAGTATTTTTCAAAAACAAAGCAAAGCTCTGGATTTTCATCAACAGTTTGCATAGGATCCACCCAACAATGGAAGGTCATTCTTCCATTACAACTGAAGATGTATTGTAGAGTTATTTGCTAAGCCAGACTGGATCCTGGACAAATAGTCACGTTATCATGGCATCAATAAATGGACAGCTTCCCATTCAATTCCAAAGACTAATCATAAGATATTGCCACTGTAATGTCTTCATAGCTAGAACTCTTTGTTGTTATTCAAGTATTTTTTCCTTTTATGGATTTATTTATTCACTTTACATCCTGATCACAGCCCCCCTCCCACCTCTCCTCCCAACCCCACCCTCACACCCCTCTCCCCCCCACCATTTATTTCCCTCTCCTATTCTCCTCAAAGAAAGGGATGCCCCCTGGGGGTGCCAATACAACCGGGACACAACAAGTTACAGCAGAACTAAGCATATGCCCTCCCACTGAGGCCAGACAAGGTAGCCCAGTTAGGGAAAAGGGATCCAAAAGCAGGCAGCAGAGTCAGAGACAGCCCCCACTCCAATTGTTAGGTGACCCACATGATGAGTAAGCTGCACATCTGCTACATATGTGTAGAGGGTCTAGTTCCAGCCCATGGATGCTCTTTGGTTGGTGGTTCAGTCTGTGGGAGCCACCATAGTTAGTTTACTCTATAGGTCTTCTTGTGGTATCCTTGACCCCTGTGACATCTTCAATCCCTCCTCCCACTCTTCCACAAAACTCCCAGAACTTGGTCAATTGTTTGTTTGTGGGTCTCTGATCTGTTTCCATCAGCTGCTAGATGAAGTCTCTCACAAGACAGTTATGCCAAGCATAACTGATAGCAGAATATTATTAACAATGACAGGCATTGCTCTCTCCCATTGGGTGGGCCTCAAGTTGGGCCTGTCATTGGTTGGCCATTCCCTCAATATCTGCTCCATCTTTATCTCTGCATGTCTTGTAGGCAGGACAAATTTTGGGTTGAAGGTTTTGTGGATGGATTGGTGTCCCCCTCCCTCTACTGGGAGTCCTACCTGGCTACAGGAGGTGGCAACTTCAGGCTCCTTAACCCCTGCTGCTAGGATTCTCAGCCAGGGTCACCCCCACAGAATCCCGGGAGCTTCCTTGTCCCAGGTCCCCAGCTTGAGCCTCACAACCACCAATTTCCATTCTCTCTCCCAACCCTTCCCCGGCCCCACGTATGTTCTCCCTACATTTGTTCTCAACCCCAGCTCCTCTCTCCACTCCCTCTCCCACCCAGATCCCTCCATCCATCCATTTCTATTTTATTTCTCTTTCTGAGTGAGATTCAAGCACCCTCCCTTGGGCTCTCCTTGTTACTTGGCATCTTTGGCTCTGTGGATTGTAGCCTAGTTGTCCTGTACTCTATAACTAATATTCACTTTCAAATTAGTATGTGTGCCTTTCTGGGTCTAGGTTACCTCACTCAGGATGATATTTTCTAGTTGCATCCATCATGCTAATAAACTTTGTTAGAAATTTTCTAAAACTCAGTGATTCCCAAGAAAGATAAACACTTGGTGCTCCACACATAGGCATGGCATAATCAAAATACCAAACAACAATAAGAAAAATATTGCATCATGAGCAAGTCAACTCAGGGGTGATTAACACCTGAACTTTCAATAGAAACAATGAAAGCCAAAAAGACTTCAGATGACACTGTCAAGAAACTAAAAGAAAAATCAACCAAGAATCTTTCCCAGCATAACCATATTGCAAAAATGAAGGCCACTAAAAACAGAGTTCATTCTAGTATTCCATCATACAAGAAACAGAAAAGGAAGTTCTTCAGGATGCAACAGGTTATACCATAGAATAATAAGAACCTACATGAGAAAACCAATCAAAAATTCATCAAAGTAGAAAACTGTATAAATGGCAGTAGAGATGTGTTTCCTTTCCTTTCTTGGATGAATTATGAATACAATATCATAAACAATGTATACATAATAATATTATTAAAGGGTCAAATGAGTGGGAACAAACCTATATTACACTTAGTAAATGACAGCAAATAGAAAGAGCCTGCATAGCAGGAGTTTGTAATGTGTACCAACTGTCCCTTGTCCCTTCACCTTCTTTAAACACAGAACTTATAAAATAATATCCACAATGTGTAATGTATATATAATTATATATTATAGTATTTATATAATAATGTTATTATAGCATAAAGAAAAAGTAATATGACTGTGCAGGAGCAAAAACTCTATATCACACTCACATTAAGGGGGTATATATCTAAAGTGGATTCTACCAGGTTAAGATATATAGTATACTTTACATATACCTTTAAAAAGCTAGTTAACAAATAACTTCAAAAATAAAATTTAAGAGACTGAAAAATGCCCTTTAGATCAAAAGACTTAAGTAGATGTAATAAACTTTGACAGTCACTCTACTCAGCAGTAACAGAAGCACACTCTTGATGAGCATGACTCAAACATTGCTCAGAAGAAATCATCTTCTTGACCATAAAGCACCATCAATAAAATTTAAAATAATAAGGTCATATAAAGTATACTCTCTAGTTAAAATGGAATAAAATTATACATCAAGAAAAAGAAAATTTGAGAAATTTTCCAAATATGTTGAAACACAACATAAAAAATTTATGAGGTTCAGCTATTCAGGAGCATTTATAACTATAAATGACTCCATGAAAAGAAAAAATATTGGATTAATAACTCATCTTCTGCTTTCAGAAACTGTATAAACTAAGGTCACAATGAATTCAATGGAAGCATTAATTAAGAAATATTAAACTCACTGCAGAAATAAATTAGAACAGAAAGTTAGAGAAAAGTAGTTAATTCAAAAGCTGGTTCATTGAAAAGATTAATGAAATCGATGAATCTGTTTACACTACCAAAAGGAAACGAAAAGAGAAGATGTGAACTGCTGAAAGCAAGAGCTAAAGAGAGAATACCATCACTGTCATTCCAAATAGAAAAGGATCATAAGGAAAAGTATGAGAATTCACATAGCATGAAGCCCGCTGTCACTGGTGCGAGGACAAACTGCCTAGGGTCACATGAGCTGACAAAACTAACCTGGATTAGTAGCAACCCAAAAGGTTTCCAAATATCAACAGTCCCACCTTCTGAGGGAATCATACTAACCATCAGAAGAACTAAACATTCAAATTGTGAACACTTAACTAAACTTAGATAGAGACCAGACATTTCAATTCACTCACTGACTGTAATACTACCCCATGCCAAATCCAGACAAAAATGTCGCAAGAGCAAACAACTAAAAAGCAGAGCCTCCTACAGACAAAATGCAAAAACCCTCGATAAGGTACTAGCAAACCAAATCCAATGAAAACCAATGTTGGTAATATGCCATGATCAAAGGGATTTACCCCAGGGATGCCAGGCTGAGGTCGTATTTTAAATAATTTTATATAATATATCATATCAATAGGTAAAAAGCAAGAACGGCATGATCATCTCAATGTCACAGAAGAAGGCATCAGCATTAACCCTCTTTTTTACAAAAGCATTCAGAAAACAAGAAACAGGGTAACTGCTAAGTCACAGAAGAAGGCATCAGCATTAACAGTACCCAACCCTCTTTTTGACAAAAGCATTCAGAAAACAAGAAATAGGGTAACTGCTAAGACTAGATAAATACCATCTGTGAGAAGCTCACAGGTTGCCTTGTACTTAGTCCTGAAATCATTGCTTTGCCCCTAAGATCAAGAACAAGGCAGAGAATGTGTGGTGCAGAACTCTGGCAGAGTACTTAACTCCCATGTACAATGTCCTATGTTCCATCTCCAGTACCCAGCACAAAAAAAAAAAAAAACTACAAGAAACAAAGCAAGTCTATGCATACTCATGTCGTATGAAATAAGAGAGAAGTGGAAAGGAGAAAGAAGGACCGTTCTGAGATGACATGGTATTGTGTGTAGAAAATCCCAAATCATACACATATGCATGTGTGCATGCACATACACACACATCTGCAAATATCACACATAAAACTATTATATCTAAGAAATAAATCCAGAAAGATCAATATCAAAAATCAACTGTGTTTCTATACACCTAACAGTGAACAGTACCAAAGTGAAATTAATAAAACCAATTCGATTTATAATCGCATGAAATAATAAAACATGTGGGAACAGATTTAGCAGTCAGTAACCACTTATTCTGTGAAAAGTTATTAAAAAAAAAAAAACTTTGACAGAGATTAAAGCAGACAAAATAAACTCTTGTTCCCAAATGGAAAGACTTAATACCGTTAAGATTCCACTTCTCCCAGAGTCAATGCAATTTCTAGAGGCAACTGAAAAGGTCCCACTCTTAGATGAAGAGATTCAGGCAGCCAATGGTTGCTGAGAGAGAACTAACATTTTCTGCGGACAAGCTCCTTGATAGTTTCTCTCATCTCAAGTGGTCAGCCCTAAACATGTCTACATACTAGTAACATTAAGTAGACTTGGTAGATTATAAATACATATATATATATAAGAATATTTGGAGAGATGGCTCAGAGGGTAAGAGTACTTCCACTGGCTGCTCTTCCAGGGGTCCTGAGTTCAATTCCCAGCAACCACAACCATCTATAATGAGATCTGGTGCCCTCTTCTAGCACGCTGGCATACAAGCAGGCAGAACACTGTATATACAATAAATAAATAAATAAATAAATAAATAAATAAATAAATAAATAGATCTTAAAGGATATGTTTTGTGATGTATGTGCATATGTATTTATTATTGTTACATGTATATACCTATTGTTACAAGTGTACCTATACATATAACAATAGTAATTACAGGATATGTCATGAACTTGAGAGGGAGGGATAGAGGAAGAGTTAGAGGAAGAAGGGGAAAGTATGAAAATGATTTAAATACAGTACTTGTGTTTGAAAGAATAAGAATAAGAATAAGAATAAGAATAAGAATAAGAATAAGAATAAGAATAAGAATAAGAATAAGAATACATTTAAAATAAAGAGCCCAAGCTGCCTTCTCTTCAGGAATTGCCAAGGTCTTGCTAAATTTTAGATGGAAATACAAAGGACTAGAAAGGTTGACTGAACCTAAGCTACCCTGAAAATGCAGAAGAAAGTCAAACAGAATTAGTCTTTCCAATGTCAAACTCACTAGTAGCTCAGTAGTGTGGTTGACAGGCAGACTCAGAAATCGACTGGATGAAGTAGAAAGTCCAAAAACACCTTACAATTTTCTTCAATTACATTTCAATTAGGGTTTCAAGACAATTCAATAAATATAACAGTTTGGGGATAGAGAGATGGTGCAGACATTAAAGGCTATGCTCATAACCAAAATGTCAAAAATAACAGTTTTCAAGGGTGAAGTTGGACTTCAAACCCCCATGAAACAAAAGTCAACTGAAAAGGCATGAACAGCTAAATCATAAAAACCTCTTTCATAAAGAAAAACTATGAATTTTGGTAACCTTTGATTGTGTGGCAATCTACCAACCATAACACCAAAATGCAAGCAGCAACAGAAGACCCACCAGATTTTAAAATGTTTGTGCTTCAGAGATAATCATTAAATAGATTAGTCCCTGTGGTATTTCTCATTTTTGTATCCTAGACTTATATGGATGCATAAAACCGCATGTGTGAGAGAGAGACCTAAAGGTAGAACTGAACCTGTCTAGAAAAGCAAGGTTGAGGGGAAAGGTGGAGAAGAGGGTGAGGAATGCAGAGGAGGAGTCTGTTCCAAGTACATTATGTACTTATTTGAAAATATCTTCATGAAACCAAGTATCAATACATTGAATAATGCCAGTTTAAAACTTACTGGGGGAAAAAAAAGCTTCTATGTTTCAATGGACATCAATAAAGTAAAAAAATCAACTCGAAAGAATGGGAAAAAAATTATAAATCCTATAGCTTACTAGGAACTTCTCTCTACGCTACATAAAGAAATTCTAACAATGGACTTATAGAAAGAAAAATTACCCAAAATTTTGAAAACATTTCATCATGTGTGAGTAGTGACGCATACACAGTATACCTTTTCCGCCTGTCTTAGTTATGGTTGCTATGGCCGTGGTAAAACATCGTGACCATAGCAGCTGGGGGAAGAAAGGTATACCTCTCTTACACTTTCGTATCACAGCGCATTATCGGAGAAGTCAGGACACACACCTGAAGGCAAGAACTGACGCAGAGGCCATGGAGAAGTGCTGATTAGTGGCTTGCTCCGGCTGCCTTCTTGCAGCACCCGGGACCACCACCCCGGGACTGTCGCCTCACACAGCGGGGTTAGCCCTTCCATACTTTTTCATTAATCGAGAACATTCACCATAGGCTTATCCACAGGCCAGTCTGATGGAGGTATTCTCTAAACACAAGTTCCCTCTCTCCAAATGATTCCGTCTTGTGACAAGATGAATAGCCCGATATCTTAATTTTTAATCTCTAACGTTAATTTAAAGCAATATCGGTAAGACCTGTTAATAGTGTGAGAGAATACTTTTTGATGTTCAAATAGTCAGCTTTTTCTACGTGTATAAATGTTTTGCTTGCTTGTGTGTGTTGCATCATGTGTAAGTAACCCTGCTACCTGTAGAGGTCAGAAGAGAGCATCAGGTCCCTGGAACCAGAGTTACATGTGCCTGTGGACTGTGATGCCGGTGCTAGGAACAAAAGCCAGGTCCTCTGCAAGAGCAATTACTGTTCTTAACCACTGTGATAGCTCTCAAGCCCGAGCAAATACTTTTTTATTTTAATGCTAGACTGCCACAGACACACAAGAAAAATGATCTGCCAGGATACTGTAGGGACGGTAGCCAGTAACGATGTCAAACAATGGTTTTTAGAAGCTTGGCATGCCTACACACATAAAAGCCAGAGAGAAAGGGGAAAAAGCCATAGAAAGAAAAGAAAGCTCCATAACCCAAAGTGACTTAAGAGATGAAAAGAAAATGGTCGGTAGAGTTTGTATCTAAGTATGTTGAGACCCTTATGCTGGAGCACCAGGGGCTTTCAAGAGTTGTCAAAATTCAATCACGGATAATTGATTCCTTTCCAAAACCCACCTGAGAAAGTTTCTGGATGTGTACGGCTTAAGCTATTGAAAGAATATAAAAATATAGAATACGAAAGAAATACAGACTCCTCACTTTCAGTCTAATCCACCACCTCCTGTCGCCTTAGAAATGTCCGTTTCCACAAAATGATATAACAACGGTCTGCCTAAAGTGATACAGTGTTCATTCACAAGAGATGGTCTTGGTAAATAACATTTGACATTTTCCCCTCTTAATGACATAGAGTTTTGTGGGACTGTAATTCTTTATGTTTGTGAGGAAGGAGTGGAAAGAATGCTGCAGAAATCTAAAAGTAGTTGCATCACTTTTTATACTTCTGTTGGGGGGTTGCATGTGCATAGTATGTTTCTTCAGGTGAGTACACACGTGTATATGGAAGCCTGTGGTTGACGTCAGGAGTTATCCTGACCCCACTTCCATCTTATTCCCTGAGGCTGGGGTCTCTGCCTCCAACCCAGAGCTCACTGATAGGGCGAGGGTTATTAACCACCTTGATAACCATCTTGAACTGCTAACACGTGGTCTGCCGTGCCTGCCTTGCATGTCCATGGGTTCTGGGGATCAAACTTGAATCCTTAACCACTGAACCTAGGAACTGCACCTTTGTATCCAGAGCACGAGGCAGTTAAAGGTATCCACACTGGTTCCAGTGTTGGCTGTGAGAGAAAACACAAGGCAACCCTGAGTGGTCACCCCTCTTTTGACGATGGGTAGCTCTTATTTCTATAGTAATTCAATATCTAAAATCCAGCACTCACTGCTGGTCACCATAGGAAAGACCACTCTACTGACGAAAACTCTGCATTGTCATTCCAGGTACCCACTTCTTTTACCTCTCCTGGAGCAGGAGTACGTGGCCAAAAAAGTTTTCAATGCTATTTTAGAGGAACAAGTTTACCTCCTCATACCCAAGTTTTCATATGTTGCATTGATTCTCAAACAGTAAGTTAATGAAGATCTAATTGGCCTTTGGGTTGACTGTGAACAAACTATCTGATCATTGCTAGTTTTTCCTATCTAGAAGGTAACTTCACTCTTATTTAAAATGATGACAAAAGAATTTTAATATTACACAAGGAAGATTTATTGGGCTTTTGTGAACCATGTCTTTGTTACTTCAAGTATTAATTAAATTTAGCCATTATTTAGGCCTCTTGAGAGCACACTGTATTTTTTCCTGCACAGAATCAAATAGCACACAAATTCTGGGGGGAAGGGGGCTTTGGAGACGTCTTAAGGTGTGTGTGTGTGTGTCTGTGTGTCTGTGTGTGTCTGTGTCTGTGTGTGTCTGTGTGTGTGTGTGTGTCGTTGTGCTATGGTTGTTGTTTGTATGTGTTTCTTTAATCGTTTACTTGGGTTTCTTGAGATAGTATCATATTGCATATTCCAGGTTCTTAATCCTCTGGCCTCAACTTCCTGATTACTGTATGCAATACCACATTCAGCTCTTTTTATTGTTGTTTTTGTGTATTTACTTAATTTAGTTTGCATAAGGCAGAGTTATACTTTTGCAATAATGAACAAAAATCCTGAATGTTTCTGAGAAAATGCTAAGGTATTTGGTGATTTCTTCATTTCACTTAGTAAAAGAGTTCTTGCAATGTCCTTTAAGGACAACACAATGCATTCTGGAGTATTTGTGGGTAGCCTCTCACAGGCTCACATTTGGCATGTAGGCAGTGCCTTCGATGTGTTGCCTATGGCTCTGATGGATGTTCAGGGAGCTTACCAGCATAGCACATCTGGAGTCTACAGAGGATTGAGAATTCTTCAAGATTTACTGGAACTACTAAAGCTTTCACATCAAGACCTTCTCCTGCTCTGCTGTATGCACAAGTTGCCCTTGTGAACAGTGATTGGGATCAGAAATGTTTGGGGCTTCAGGTTTATTCAAGTTTTGTATTAATTTATATGTAATGAGGCATATTGGGGATAGGATCCGAGTCTGAACAGGTAATCCATGTGTTTCCAGCATACCGACACATAATCCAAAGGTCATCTGAATAAGGGCTTTTCTTATGACTTGTTTTATACCAGATGTGGACTTTTCCTCTCATGGCATCATGTTTGTGCCTTGAAAGCCCTGGACTCTGGAGCATGAGGATTGTGTTACTGAGAAATGTAGTACATTCTTTTTTTTTCTATTAATTACAGTTTATTCACTTTGCATCCCAGCTGTAGCCCCCTCCGACGTCCCCTCCCAACCCCATCTTCTCTCCCTCTTCACATCCCAAGCCTCCTTCCAAATCCACTGATAAGGGAGGTCTTCCTCCCCCTCCCTCTGACCCTAGTCTATCAGGTCTCATCAAGATTTGTTTCACTGTCTTCTTCTGTGGCCTGGCAAGGGTGTTCCCCATCAGGGGGAGGTGATCAAAGAGCCAGCCACTGAGTTCATGTCAGAGACAGTCCCTGTTCCCATTACTAGGGAAACCACTTGGACAGTAAGCTGCCATGGGCTACATCTGTGCAGGGGTTCTAGGTTACCTCCATGCATGGTCCTTGGTTGGAATATCAGTCTAAGAAAAGACCCCTGTGGCCAGGTTTTTTGGTTCTGTTGCTCTCCTTGTAGAACTCCTACCTCTCCAGGTATTTCTATCTCCCCCTTCTTTCATAAGATTCCCTGAACTCTGTACAAAGTTTGTCTATGAGTCTCAACATCTGCTTTGATACCATGCTGGGTAGAGTTTTTCAGGGGCCCTCTGTGGTAGGCTCCTGTCCTGTTCCCTGTTTTCTACCTCTTCAGATGTCTATCCCGTTTGCCTTTAAGAATGACAATTGATCATCTTACCCAGGGTCCTCCCTCTTGCTTAGCTTCTTTAGGTGTACAGATTTTTAGTATGTTTATCCTATATTATATGTCTAATATCCACTTATAAATGAGTATATACCATGTGTGTCTTTCTGCTTCTGGAATACCTCACTCAGGATGATCTTTTCTAGCTCCCACCATTTGCCTGCAATTTTCATGATTTCCTTGTTTTTAATTGCTGAGTAGTATTCCATTGTGTAAATATACCAGAGTTTCTGTATCTATTCCTCAGTTAAGGAACATTTGGCTATTACAAATAAAGCTGCTAGGAACATGGCTGAGCAAATGACCTTGTTGTGTAATTGAGCATATTTTGGATATATGCCTACGACTGGTATAGCTGGATCTTGAGGTAGCACTGTTGCTAATTGTCTGAGAAAGCACCAGATTGATTTCCAAAGTGGTTGTACAAATTTACATTCCCACCAGCAACACAGGAGGATTCCCCTTTCTCCACATTCTCTCCAGCATGTATTGGCACTTGAGTTTTTTATCTTAGCCATTCTAATGGGTGTAAGGTGAAATCTCAGGGTTGTTTTGATTAGCATCCACCCCCTCCCCAGATGAGTAAGGATGTTGAACATTTCTTTAAGTGTTTCTCTGTCATTCAATATTCCTCTATTGAGAGTTCTCTGTTCAACTCTGGACCTCATTTTTTAATTGGATTACTTGGTTTGTTGCTTTTTAACTTCTTTATTTCTTTATATATTCTGGGTATTAGCCCTCTGTCAGATGTAGGGTTGGTGAAGATCCTTTCCCAGTCTGTAGGCTTTTGTATTGTTCTGATAACAATGTCCTTTGCTTTACAGAAGCTTTTCAGTTTCATGAGGTCCCATTTACTGCTTGTTGCTCTTAGAACCTGTGGTGTTGGTTCTGTTCAGGAAGTTTTCTCCTGTGCCAATGAGTTCTAGGCCCTTCCCAACTTTTTCTTCTAACAGGTTTAGTGTGTCTGGTTTTATGTTGAAGTCTTTGATCCACTTGGACTTTAGTTTTGTGCACGGTGATAAATTCAGATCTATTTATATTTTTCTACATGCAAACAACCATATAGACCAGCACCATTTGTTGAAGATGCTATCTTTTTTCCATTGTATGGTTTTGGCTTCTTAAAACATCAAGGATTCATAGGTGTGTGGGTTTATTTCTAGGTCTTCTATTCGATTCCATTGATCCACCATTCTGTTTCTATGCCAGTACCATGTGGTTTTTATTATTATTGCTCTGTAGTACAGCTTGAAATCAGGGATGGAGATAACTCCAGACGATCGGTTGTTGTTTGTACAGAATTATTTTGGCAATTCCGGGTTGTTTTTTTAGTTTGTTTTTCCATATGAAGTTGAGAGTTTTTCTTTCAAGCTCTGTAAAGAACTGTGTTGGTATTTTTATGGGAATTGCATTGAACCTGTAGATTGCATTTTTCAGGATGCCCATTTTTTACTATGTTAATCCTACTGATCCATGAGCATGGGAGATCTTTCCATCTTCTAATATCTTCTTCAATTTCTTTCTTCAGAGACTTGAAACTTTTTTCAAACAGGTCTTTCATTTGCTTGGTTAAAATCACCCCAAGGTACTTTATGTCCTTTGTGGCTATTGTGAAGGGTGTAGTTTCCCTAATTTCTCTCTCAGCCCTTTTGTCTTTCATATACAGGAGCACTATTGCTTTTTTTGAGTTAATTTTATATCCAGCCACTTTGCTGAAGGTGTTTATCAGCTGAAGGAGTTCTCTGGTTGAATTTTTGGGGCGACTCATGTATACTATGATATCATCTGCAAATAGTGATACTTTGACCTCTTCCTTTTCGATTCCCCTTGATCTCCTTTAGGAGTCTTATTGTTCTAACTAGGATTTCAAGTACTATGTTGAAGAGGTATGGAGAGAGTGGGCAGCCTTGCCTTGTCCTTGATTTCAGTGGAATTGATTTAAGTTTCTCTCCGTTTAGTTTGAAGTTGGCTATAGGCTTGCTTTACATTATCTTTATTATGTTTAGGTATGTGCCTTGTATCCCTGATCTCTCCAAAACTTTAAACATGAATGGGTGTTGGATTTTGTCAAATGCTTTTTCAGCATTTAAGGAGATGATCATGTGGTTTTTCACCTTCAGTTTGTTTATATGGTGGATTAAATTGATGGATTTCCATTTATTGAACCACCTCTGAATGCCTGGGATGAAGCCTACTTGGTCATGATGGCTGATGCCTTTTATGTTTTTCTGGATTTGGTTTACAAGTACTTTATTGGTATTTTTTCATCACTGTTCATAAGAGAGATCTTATGAAGTTCTCTTTTTTGATTGGGTCTTTGTGTGGTTTATGTATCAAGGCAACTGTGGCTTCATAGAATGAGTTTGGTAATGTTTCTTCTGTTTCTATTTTGTGAAATAGTTTGAAGAGAATTGGAGTTAGCTCTTTTTTGAAGGTCTAGTAGAATTCTGAGCTGAAACCATTTGGCCCTAGGTTGTTTTGTTGTTGTTGTTGTTTGGTTTGGTTTGTTTTATTGTTGTTGTTGTTTTGGGGGGTTGTTTTTGGTTTTGTTTGGAAGGAAGACTTTTAATGACTGCCTCTATTTCCTTGGAAGAATAAAGGACTATTTAGTCTATTTACCTCTCTTAATTTAATTTTGGTAAATGGAATCTATCAAGAAATTTGTCCATATCATTTTGATTTTCAAATTTTGTGGCATATAGGCTTCTGTAGTAAGACCTAATGATTGTTTGGATTTCCTCAGTCTCTATGGTTATGTCCCCCTTTCCATTTCTGATTTTTCTGATTTGCATAGTTTCTCTCTGCCTTTTAGTTAGTTTGGCTAAGGGTTTGTCTATTTTGTTTATTTTCTCAAAGAACCAGCTCTTGGTCTCATTGATTCTTTGAATTGTTTTCTTTGTTTTTAATTGATTTCAGTTTGATTATTTCCAATTGTCTACTTTTCTTGGGTGTGTCTGCTTCTTTTTTTCTAGGGCTTTTTCGTGTGCTGTTAAGTTGCTTGTATGAGATGTCTCAAACTTCTTTCTGGAGGCATTATGAACTTTCCTCTTAGCACTGCTTTTGTTATGTCCCATAAGTTTGGGTAAGTTGTGCCTTCATTTTCATTGAATTTTAGGAAGTTTCAAATTTCTTTTTTCATTTCTTCTCTGATCAAGCTGTCATTGAGAGTTGTTTAGTTCCCATGTGTATGTAGGCTTTTTGTTATATCTGTTGTTGTTGAGGTCTGGTTTTAGGCCATGGTGGTCTGATAAGATACAAAGGATTATTTCAATCTTCTTGTATCTGTTGAGGTTTGCTTTGTGCCCAACTAAATGCTCAATTTTTGAGAAGGTTCCGTGAGGTGCTGAAAAGAAGGTATGCTCTTTTGAGTTTGGGTGAAAAGTTCTGTAGACATCTATTAGGTCCATTTGATTTAAGACCTCTGTAAGTGGCATTATTTCCCTATTTAGTACATGCTTTACTATTTATACCTACTTGTTACATTCCCTGTCCTTCCTCAGCTAAACTAAGTGAAAGCCAATGTTCCTCACTGTATAATCCATCACACTTGTCACTGCCTTCTAGTACTTAACACACTGGACACCTACCAGCTTGTGTTCCCTCTAAGAATATAATTTCTAAATTCTTTCCTGGTCTATGCTTGCACCCAGGACAGGACTTGATAAAGAATAAACATGCAAAAATATTTGCTCATTTAAACTGGGCTGATCCAAGCAGAAGTGATCTGAAGTCCAGCATTATCGTTGATCTAAGCAATGCCTCTCAGTCTCAGATGCTCATTAGAACCATCCTCACACTTAAAACTACTGTGCCACACATAATATTTACAATTGGTATGATTTTATTCTAATAATTGCTATTGTTGTCTAGTAAATAAGTATGTCCTAAGTAAATAATAAGCCATCTGGTCTCTCCAAAGAACCAGTGAGTAGACAGCATGTGCAGAAACTGGGATGTTTTTTCCAAGTTTGGAGAATGATTCTAGGATGTAGGAAGGGTTGACAGTGTCCATCATTATCCATGATGTTGATGTCCCTGAACTGTGTATGATACGGTGGTATCTTTCCATTTATCCCTCCCATCAAGTGACAGGGGCACAACATAAGTCTTGTTCTTTCAGACTTTGTGTTATTTGCGCTACCTGCAAAGTAGTCCCTTTGGTGACTTTAAGAGTCTTTAAAGATCATAACTTTTCTCTCCTTTTCTCTAGGATAATATCTCCAAAAATGATGATTGCCCTTGGTGAGTACCTTGGCGTGGACAGCTGTATGACTTCATTCACAGGGAGAGCAAAAGCAAAGGAACTGCAGCCTGAAGCAGAAAGGAAAGAGCAGTAGCTCAGGCCTTGACCATGATAATCACATAGAGAGATGAGATAGATGCTGTTGGGAATGCCCCTAGTAGTTGTAGCATGTCATTCTACCTGGAACCGCCCAGGCTTTGGAAAGTATATAGCTTCCCTTCCCAGGAGACAGTTTGCACATAGCTCTTTCTCTGTCTCTTCTCTCTCCTCAGTTTTCTTTCTTTCTTTTCTTTTTTTCCTCATTCAAGATCTCAATATACTGTCTAGGCTGGCCTTTCATAATCCTCCTTTCATAAACCTCAGCCTTTGAGGGCCGGGTTGGTAGATACTTATCACCTTTCCCAGCCACACTGATATTCTTCTAAGCATTTATTCTATCTATCTAGATTCCCATATAATTCTTTAGTTTGGTACATAAAAATGTTGCAATCTTTTCAGTGAACTCTGATCATATTGTATTTATAGAAGGTTAATGCAAATTAGCCCTAATCTCATTTTAAAATAGAATGTAAGATACTTCCAGGAAAGGTGTAATTATAAGTAATGAACTTGTAAAATCAATGTTACGAACTGATAAATTTTCAATATCTGATATAACATACACATTAATTTTATAGTTAAAAATGTTTACTTCAAAAACTGAAGGTGGACTTGTATTGCCTATTAATCCCTACTGGATTTAGGTGATCGCATGAAGATTGTTATTGCGACCAAAACTGAACATGCTTATTGGATTAAAGAAATCTGTAACTTATCAGTTTTGTTTGCGTCTCAATGTGTTAAAGAATTCTTCACTCTTTTACTTTTTAGGAAAAGTAAATGCTGTAGACCTTATATACTCTGCTGTCTTATAAATAAAATATACTTTTGTAATAACATCGGAATACGCTGCTTTAATATATCTTAAATCAAGTTATTTTTTTCAAGCACCTATACCGTGGGAATGTACACTTCACATCTGGCCATTTCACAAGCAGTCATAACAATGGTGTTTCTGGTGATCTCTAGGCTCAAGATGCTACTTTAAGTGCAGTGACCACACAATAGTCCCATTAAGCTCTCTTTACATCCAAGGACAAGTGGGAGTGACAGCAGAAATCTACGTTTCTACTACATTACAGTATGCCTTCTGTTAATGGCAGAGCGCACTACTATGACTTATTCTGTTACTGGAGACGTGGTTCTTATACATTCATACAACTAAGGCAGTGTTTACCTTGAGGCAGAAAAGGAAGGGAAAGGTTGGCCTAATACAACACAGCAGTCAAAAAAAAAAAAAAAAAGAGCATCAGTAGGGCAATAATATGTTTGACAGTTTTGTGTGTAAAAACTGGACCTGTTTGGCTTTCAGTGTGGGCTCTAGAAAGTGTCTATTTATCCACTAGCTCAGCACATATTTACCAAGTACCTGTATCTACAGCACTACAAACAGAGAGATGAGGAAAACAGACACTAAACATAGGACAAGAGCTTTCTGGATGCCGCTAAACACACAGAGACTTTGGTTTGGTTTTGCCCTTTTCCTGGTCAATACTGTGGGTCAATATTGTAGGTTTACAGTATTTGAAAGCTTCACAGTCTGTCTCCTGCTTCTTGTTTGTATTGACATATTTTCTACCTGAGAATTGCTTCAACTCCCTGATTCTGTCCCACTGATGACGCAGTAAGCATTGTGTATCACATCTGTGTCTAAGAAACACTGCTTATAAAGATCCCTGGCTGGTAGTGCACAACTGACAGGAGCGACAAATGGACAATATGCTCCTAGTACGGAATGACACCACACTCCGGGCTTCCTGGGGCTAGAGGGCTCTGCCTACTCGGAATCCGAAGGCTATGCCCATGAAACTACTGAGTCTATGGGATGTAAGGCAGACATCACACATGACCCATCCCAAAGCTGAGGAGAAAATGTGTCTGAACTCGGTGCAGACTCCTACATACTTATGATCACTCTAATACATGAGTTCCAGATACAGGTAGTAAGAAAAATGTAAAAGTTTTGGTTTCATAATCTTACATAATACCATGATTTTACAAATGAAAAAAAAACTTGAATGATGTTAAGAATTTTCCATCTCACATTCTTTGCAGATTCATTTTTTTAAATATATATTCAGGAAATTTTTTATTTTTATTTTTTATATTAATCACAGGTTATTTACTTTGTATCCTAGCCGTAGCCCCCTCCCCCATTCTCTCCCAACCCCACCCTCTCTCCCTCATCTCCTCCCTGCCCCTTTCCAAGTCCACTGATAGGGGAGGACCTCGTCCCATTCCATCTGACCCTAGGTTATCAGGTCTCTTCAGGATTGGCTGCAATGTCCTCTTAGGTGTCCTAGCAAGACTGCTCCTCCCTCGGGGGAAAGGGTGTCAAAGAGCTCGTCATTGAGTTCATGTGAGAAATAGTCCTTGTTCCCCTTACTAGGGAACCCACTTGAAAACTGAGCTACCATGGGCTATATCCGAGCAGGGGTTCTAGGTTATATCCATACATGGTCCTTGGTTGGAGATACAGTCTCATGAAAGACCCCTGTGCTCTGACATATTTGGTCCTTGTGGAGCTCCTGTCCTCTCCGAGTCTTACTAACTCCTCCTTCTTTCACATGATTCCCTGTACTCTGCCGAAAGTTTTGGTTATGAGTCTTAATATCTGCTTTGATACACTGCTAGGTAGAGTCTTTCAGATGCCTTCTGTGGAAGGTTCCTGGCAGGTTCATTTTTAAGAACATAATAAACTACTCTTTCAGCAGCTTTGAAAAGAAAATTTCCGTTGGCATGATGGTCAAGAGTGTATCCCAGGCTGTGACAATATTAATATATAGTCCTAACCAATTTTTTAGTTTCAATCATTCATTGTGAGTACATATTGGGAACAACTTTTCTAAAAGGTTAGCTCTATGCACATTTAGCAGCGTGGTGTGCATTTATTATAATGAGCATAAGTTCCCTGACATGAGAGTTTTCTCTGAGTCTTCCTGTGACTGCTGAATGTTGGATTAATAACTGAAAGTGACTTGGTGATGCTTTTACTTAAATTCCTGTTCTTGCATTTTTTTTTTTTACTATGAATCAAGTACTTTATTAGGTGTGGGGATTCAAGAATATACCATTTATCTAAATTTTTTCAGATGTCAAAGCTAATATTAAGAACTATTCAAATCTTGAATCAGTTAACAAAGAATAAATTGGATACAGGTATTATATGACAATTTTGTTCTTTTTTTAATTATACTTTATTTACATTGTATTCCCCCTCTAGTTCCCTCCCTCCTCCCCTCCCAACCCCTCCCTTCCTCCCTCTTCTCCACACACTCCCCTCCCCAAGTCCACTGGTAGGGGAGGGTTTCTTTTTCTTCCTTCTGATCCTAGTCTGTTAGGTCTCATCAGGAGTGGCTGCATTGTCTTCCTCTGTGGCCTGATAAGGCTGCTCCCCCCTCAGGGGAAGGTGATCAAAGAGCAGGCCAATCAGTTCATGTCAGAGGCAGTCCCTGTTCCCATTACTATGGGACCCACTTGGACACTGAACTACCATGGGCTACATCTGTGCAGGGGTTCTAGATTATCTCCATGCATGGTACTTGGTTGGAGTATGAGTCTCAGGAAAGACCCCTGTGCTCAAATTTTTTGGTTCTGTTGCTCTCCTTGTGGACTTCCTGTCCTCTCCAGATCTAACTATTATTTCCCACTTCTTTCATAAGATTCCTTGCATTCTGCCCAAAGTTTGGCCATAAGTCTCAACATCTGCTTTGATAGTCTGCAGGGCAGAGCATTTCAGAGGACCTCTGTGGGAGGCTCCTAACTTGTTTCCTGTTTTTTCTTCTGGTGTTCATCCTCTTTGCCTTTTGGAGTGGGGATTGAGCATTTTAGCCAGAGTCCTCCCTCTTGATTAGTTTCTTTAGATGTACAGATTTTAGTAGGTTTATCCTATATTATATGTCTATATGAGTGAGTACATACCGTGTGTGTCTTTCTGCTTCTGGGACAGCTCACTCAGGATGATCCTTTCCAGATCCCACCGTTTACCTGCAAATTTCATGATTTCCTTATCTTTCATTGCTGAGTAATATTCCATTGTGTAGATATACCACAATTTCTGCATCCATTCTTCAGTTGAGGGCCATCTGGGTTGTTTCCAGCTTCTGGCTATTACAAATAAAGCTGCTACAAACATGGTTGAACAAATGTCCTTATTGTGTACTTGAGCCTCTTTTGGATATATGTCTAGGAGTGGTATAGCTGGATCTTGAGGAAGCACTATTCCTTGTTGTCTGAGAAGGTACCAGATTGGTTTCTAGGGTGGTTGTACCAGTTTACATTCCCACCAGCAGAGGAGGAGGGTTCTCCTTTCTCCACAACCTCTCCAGCATGTATTGTCACTTGAGGTTTTGATCTTGGCCATTCTGATGGGTATAAGGTGAAATCTCAGGGTCATTTTGATTTGCATTTCTCTGATGGCTAATGACGTTGAGCATTTCTTTAAGTGTTTCTCTGCCATTTGAAATTCCTCTATTGAGAATAGCTCTGTTCCCCATTTTTTAATTTTTAATTACTTGATTTGTTGCTTTTCAACTTCTTTAGTTCTTTATATATACTGAATATTAGCCCTCTGTCAGATAGAGGGTTGGTGAAGATCTTATAATACCGTCAATTGTAAGGGAAGAACTGATTACAAAAGCATCTTCCTCACTCTGCATTAGTTTACATCAAGCCTCGAATTAAATAGTGTTTATGTGGCCAATGCAAAGATCTTCACATTCAGTTTCTATTTCTAAACCTCTGGGTGTTTGCTTTGCAAAGAAGTTGCCAGCTTCAGAACTGGTAATTATGAGTCTTTGAATTAGCCTGATAACATTTTGGCATACCTTATTAAAAGCTCTGGACATAAACTTTTGCTTTGTAATGATTTATTTCAAAGGCTTGCTGCCCAAGAGCTGACAGTTCCTTTTCTGCCTCAGATGAAAGTTAATATTAGTTAATATTAGGGTGATTGCTCCAGGCACAGCCTCTGGATATAACCAGCAATCTTGCCAC